CCGGACGGACGGACGCACGCACGCACGGACGAACGATCATGCGATTCTACAAGCTGCATCTGACTATGTCAGATGAGCTAAAAAAATATCCAAACCTGTGTGACATGTTTTGGGGCCAGTCCTCATTCATTCACATACCAGAAATTAGCAAAATCCATTGAACCTGAACTGACTTATGGCCATTTCCATTTTTGCCAAAAAGTGGACGTGGCTCAAACGTAGGTCGACTGGCATGCTCCAAAATAGGACGTTCAAACGGTTTAACCTCTCCGATAGGAGTAACAATTTAACTATATGCAATTTGAAACATGTGGGTCAAACGGTTCTTGAGTTATCGTCGACCGTAGCCAAATGTTGACGGACGAACGGACGGACGGACGGACGTACGACGGACGACACCCCATGGCAATAGCTCATCTTGACGATGTCAAGGCAAGCCAAAAATGTACTTCAAATTCTTTCCACAACTAGCAATATTGTAGTATTACAAAATAAGTGTAATGTTTACCAAGTAGCATTCTTGTGCAATTTACCCAGGGACATGACACATTATTACAAACTTTAAAAAAGAAAAATCATAGAATTTCAATGAGAAATGACATTATAGTGTTAATCCTCCAATCAAATGTCATGCTAACTAAGGGTTCAACAAATTCTTCCACAAGTCACAATCAACAGTAAGAATAGATATTGCATGCACACCGACACAAACACATACCTCTTTCGCCGAAAATTCTCGACAATTTGTGGGTAGAAGGACACTGACCAAGCAGCAAAGTAGATCCAGCCAATGACTGCACTGAGAGTGACGAGAGCATTATTGTGCACAACAGTTATGCGAATAAAGGCATTTTCAAGGCTGCAACAAAAAAATGACAACATTAATACCTGAACAAAAAAGGGTATAAAGGCAAAAAAACGTTTTATCATGGTACAGGCAGACCTATAATGAATATATATATTATATATAAATATATACTTGCCAATTTTATCTTGATCACATAGGATTTAAAGAATATGTTTTACAAAATGTGTAATATTAAAAAAAAAAAAAAACATGATTGAAAGGCATCTGTATGATAGCTAAGAGTTTTAGATTTGATAACATACAGGGCATGCCTATCAATGGTCACCTTGCACTTCCGCATGATTTCATAATATAATAACATATGACTATAGACCCTCAAAAACAAACATATCAGGCAATACAATTTGAATACAATCTCACTTTCTAATAATAAAGTATAGAATATATTATATATGAATATATACTTGCCAATTTGATCTTGATCACATAGGATTTAAAGAATGTTTTACAAATTGTGTAATCTTAAAATTAAAATAAAACCATGATTGAAAGGTATCTGTATGATAGCTAAGAGTTTTAGATTTGATAACATACAGGGCATGCCTATCAATAGTTGCAAGTCACCTTGCATTTCCCGCATGATTTCATAATATGATAACATATGACTAGAGCCTCAAAAACAAACATATCAGGCAAGATAGATTTAAATACAATCTCACTTTTCCAATTCTGTTGAAGTTGAATTGACACTGATAACACACCTGCCCGCATTCAATCCATGTAGCGTGATGTTGCATTTAGTGACACCTGAATTAGAAAATCAGTGAGTCGTGAAAACTGAGAAATCCCCATATGTACATGAGCTATCACATGTAGTCACATCTGTACACAGATGTCACTCCATGGAACCCCATAACGTACTAATACGCAGACAGATGCCTTTTCTATACAGGTTGAGTCAGTTTAAATTTTTTCAAAAGGAGAAAAGAAGTGATTCACCTAAGTATTCATGAAGTGTACTCTGATCCATTTGTATTTGTGCCAAAGAATATCACAGATATATGTCTTTACATTAAAAGTAGTAGTAGTAGCAGAAAATTATACCTCAGAAGGGTCAATGATATAAGCCTGTTGAATCAACACGGAATCGCAAAAAATCAAACCGCACATAAACGTCTGTCTATATATGCAAAGATATTACATTCTATAAGAGACCTGAAGATCCTCATGGAAAGTTTTTGCCAGCTACTATGTAAGTTGAGTATTAATCCATTCGTTAAGGGAGGCAATTCACGTGTCTAAACGCGCAGCAGCATAGGGTATATATAGCTTTCTGTGTTTATACAATCAGCAGGTATGCCTACATGGCAGGGAATTAAGTTCAAAGTATGGTGCAGCACCCTGCCTCGCCAACATGGTGAGTATACATGCACCCCCTGCTAGTTGTGTTACAACTGATACATGATGTGTATTATGTTTTGTGTACGTCTATTTATGTAGGTACACATCTGTTATCATCATGTGACCTAGGCAGTGTAGCCAGTGATCTAGACTCAGTGTGCAAAATTAGCGCTATTTTGCCGGCGGCCGCCGGTTCAACCCCTAAGGGCCTGTTTAAAATTTTGGGTGGGCCTGTTCACATTTTGGCTAATTTCATGCCCTGTAGACTGATCTAGTGATTGTATTGTGGGGAAAATTAAGTGACTGTTATATGCAGCATGAGTCGCCTCGAGGGAAGCGAACGCAGTGTCAGATGACCCCATTGAGGAGATGCTCGCTCTGTAAGGCAAATACGACAGCATTTGTTTAAACCAGGGGCAGTGTTAACGAATATAAAAGCAGCATCAAAAGTTCTAAGTCACGATGACAACTCATCTATACCTCACCTGGTTCGACTGTATAGTCAGGTATCGGCGAGATGACAGTATGAGTGTCGAACTCGAATGAAAGAACTGCCGAGTCATTCAGTGGGTGGCTGCAAGGTAAACATAAAGAACATGGTCTAAATACCACATGATGCCACCTTTGCACTATGCCTTCATATACACAGAAATATGAGCAATGCAACCAATTATAAATCCTCTGGTCAATCCTTCTTTGGTCTCTGGTCTCTGGTCACCAATGTCTCAGTAAAAGTTCTTTTCTTTCTCTATATGTGATAGCCAATTTTTGATACGCAGAGAATAACATCTGGAATATATCCTTTGAACTTTCGATTCCATTGTCACACCCTGGATGCATGTTCCTAGAATGACTTATATTTTATATATGCGTTGCAAAAAAATATTCACAGAACTCCTGCCACTGCATTAGCCGTATTCCTGACTACAATAATTTAGTTTTAAAAGAGTGGTCACTTGAACCTTATCTATCTACCCTAAATATTTCTTTGCTATGGGATAAAATTTACTAAGCACTATTTTACCTCAGAGAGAAAAACACTTGGCCTTCACGATTTAGCTGGAAATCATAGTCAGTTTCAGAAAATTCCAATGTTGCACTTTCCACTGTAAAAAAAACCAGAAAACCTAGGAAATACCAAACACATGTGCAACACCTTTAGAAAATGGATTTACACAGTTCAATATCTATATGCAGCAGGTTTGTGTAATCATAGGATATTTACCCTAACCCTATATACCAACCATCTATCCCTCCCTGCTGGCATGGGTGGGTCACCGTGGCAGCGTAAAGAGTGAAGGGCTACATAGGTTTAGCGTAATACCAATAAGAAGAAGTATGGTTAATCTAGTTCTAATGCAATTCCTCTAATAACAACTTGAAGTAAAGTACAAGTACCTTTTAACCTAAGCTATTAGGACTTGTGCACGACTCATACCCAGTAATATTTTAGTCTACTAGCTATTACTATAAGTATTGGTCAGAGTTTATAATACACTATACCTAAACAACCACTGCAGAGCACAAATACCAGCAAGAATATGTATAGTAGAGTAGAAATCCCCATTGCGAGTTCACAGGCAACTGAGTCTGAAATACTATGTACGATACTTCCTCGACAATAACAACAAAAACTTAGTTGCATGCACACGCAGTGACGCTAATCTCAAATGTAAATGTTGACATATGCTGAGTTTTGACTGGGTATATCAATATCGATATTGGTACATGCTCTATTTTAAGAATTGGCTTACAAGTTTCGCTGCCAGGGTCTATGTCTCCCTGGGTACTGCCGGAACGTACCCTGGTACTATCTAATATGCCGGACCGTACCTCGCCTACTCCACTAACGAGTCTAGGGAGTCGCCTACGCCTACTCCCTAACCCTAACCATATCAGATAGTTACCAGGGTACGTTCCGGCCGTACCGAGGGAGACATAGACCCTATCAGCACAAGTTTCTGATTAGAGTCCCTTTATATATAGAGGGACTCTATTTCTGATGAATCGTGAGCGCCATCTACCGGCCACTATAGCAGATAAGGTCTATGTCCTACGAACCTCTGTTTGACCTGTCTCGTTTAGCTATTTCTGACTAATATATATATATATATAATATATATAGGGTTAGGGTTAGGGTTAGGGTTAGTCAGAAATAGCTAAACGAGCCAGGTCAAACAGAGGTCAGGGGGACATAGACCCTACGAGCGCCACTATAGTAAACAACTCAGCTCATAGCAGACCACAGGCAGCTTTCTGCTTCATCCTGAGATATCCTCTGTATTACCTTCTATAGGGACTGAATCCATGATTTTAGCAGTTGGGAGAGGGATGTACTTTTTTAGTACTGCATCCATAAGGTGCGGTGAAAGTCGCAGGAACACCTTATCTACAGCTAGGAGTGTACTATCGAAGCAGGAAGAGGCTGGAAAAACATGGTGCTCTGACGAAACTTTTTTTTCTCTCAAATTATGCAGCGTCATGCAGGTGTGAGTGTAAATGCATAACGCCGTGTTATTTACCGTGTTATTTACCGTGTTCTATATATGCACAGACCGCTCTAAGAGAGTCATATATGTAAAGAATGGGATATCCGACACTGTTCAACCAGCCTATTGCTTTTCATAAATTCGCTCTCATAAATGCTTGTACATTCTCGGTATACCGGACCGTACCCAGGGTACGTTCCGGCAGTACCCTGGGGGACATAGACCCTCTCAGCTAAAGTGGGAGGCTGTTTACTCTAGCTCTACCCATCATGTATATCCCAATTCCCTCTGGCACAGTTTGGTCATTGTGACAGAGTGAAGACTGAAGGGCTATAGTTTTATAGTAATAGTAACAATTGCAGGTAAATGGTTAGATATATAGCTCTACTGGTTTAGCTCAGGGCTGTAGTGGCCTCCCAAAATGTGCTACTGCAGAAAAATGTAGGATCACCCAGTAATAATAGCATAAGTGGCGGTTATGGTGTGCGCCGCAGGCACACACGGCGAATGCCGCATTCGCAAAGCCCCTGCCTTCGTCTGGGGTCTTGGGGCCCCCCAGAAAATTTTTGAAATTTAGAGCCTGGAAATGGCATTTCCTGCATTTCCTCCTCCTCTATATCCTGTCTTGATCCACCACCACCTTCTCAACTCCTCCTCTTCCCCCTCCCTCCTCTCCCTCATCTCTCCTATACCTCCCCTCTCCTACTCCAATTACCTTCTCCCTTCCTCATCTTCCTCCCTTCTCATCCACTGACTCAACTTCCTCTCGTCCTCCTCCACCAGCTTCTCCCCCTCCTCTACATCCCATTATCACATTGAATGGCTTCTTGAATGCTTTACTACTACTGTTGCCACTAGTAATTACACTAATAACGATATTATCAGTAGTTCTTTAAGATTTATCTTGCCCTGTGTGCCGATTCGCCTGTGTTAGCTATTCTGCTTAAGCCCGGCGCACACGTGAGTTATTTTACTCAAGTAAAATGACGCACGAGTCAAATTACTCAACGAAAATCCGCCGCACACGTGAGTAAAATGACGCACGTACGAGTCAAATTACTCAACGAAAATCCGCCGCACACGTGAGTAAAATGACGCATGCGTCATTTTACTTGAGTAAAATAACTCACGTGTGCGCCGGGCTTTAGATCCAATCTTTCCACCAAAATGGCGCCACACATGTCACATGTGTCGTTTCATCTCATTGGTATATCTAGCTCCTTGGTTCCCTGCACAATTTTTTGTTATCAAAATAGTGCCATGGCAGTGCCGTGCTGCCGTGGCGCCCACTACCGCCCTGTTTATAAACTTCACTCCCGTTACAGAGTTATACGAAAAACAGTGCTGAGAAACAACAGTGAATCTTTGCAGCGTGGTAGGCCAACTGGTGCCCGCTCACTAACCCCGCTATATATATTAAATCGCCTTTTGCCCGATTTTAAACATTTGGGCATGAACACGCCAAAATACTTATCTCCGCATCTACTTCCATTGCGCTTTTGTTGTTGCACGCCACCAATTCCCATGGCAACAAACAAATTAGGTATTGCTAGTATTGCCATAGATTATACAAACACAACGCCATCGTCTGTCAGCAGTATATCTGAAAACTGCATAGTGGCTTCATCATGCGGTCAAAAATCATAACTTACACAATTTAGTTAACTGCAAATGAAGCTCCTATAGTGCCTTTAAGTCAGATATGGTCACGTATATGTGTTTTTGGTTCATTTGTGTTTGATAAATGGCCCAATCTGGCCAAATTACGGTGAGTTTGGAATGGGAAGCTAAATTAGGAACGTTTATCTGGTTGGCTTGCATCTTTTGCTATTGTACCATGGGCTATGCCGGTAGAGCTACATGGGCTGCAGCTTAAGCTGGGTTTACACTACCGACTTTATGCAGGCAACTTGGCATTTTTCTTCTTTCTACCAACCTCTCTCGCGAGTCTCTATATAGATGTTCAAAGCTAGCTCTTACGTTATCGACCGCGAGGCGGCAAACGTTTCAAAATTTGACGCGTAGTGCGCGCACGGGACGACGCGCATACGCAGTTTTGCATTTGGACGGCATTTGCAGGAAATTGTCGGCAATAGGTGAAAGAGTGTATATAATATATAGAAACATTAAGACGTATTTATTTAGCATTATATTTTATTGAAACGCTTCAAGTGCCTGTGTTGAACACGAGTCATCGGGTGAGCCTTGAAACGAGAGTGAAGGGCTACACGGGTGAAGCTGCTACAGTTCTAACACAATGTAAACACGTCATAAATAACAAAACTCGACAGTAACACTTGACAGTTTTACAGCTTGAAGTGCAAGAGAACTTGTCACTTGTGTACGACTCATCATACCCAGTACTATTTCAGTCTACTATTAGTACTACTACTAGTACTATTACTATTAACACTGACTGGAGTTTATGTTATACTATACCTAAACAAACAGCGGTCAGCAGAAATAGCAGAGGCAGAGACAATCTGTACAGAGTACCCATCTCCATCGCGTGTTCACAGGCAACTGAGCATGAAGGCTGAAATGCTGTGCCACAGTCCCACTCCAGTTCATTTGACGTGCCAAAAGAAATGTCTACACCACGTCAATCGTCATGTACAGTGACTCAGCTAATCTATGAATGTCAATAGTGCAGCGTGCTGACTTTTTCAGAACGAGTAAATCAATATCGATATGAATTGAATTGAATATGGATATCTTAGATATCAATATTCATTATGATCTCAATATACTCTAGGCCTATCTCTCACTGTTTCCGCATTTCTCGTGTCCGTGCGGTAAACACTCGCTCCCGCCATCTACCGGCTACTATAATAAACAACTCAGTTCATCGATGACCATTGCATCAGAACCATATATACAATATATCAAGAACTTCTTATAGAGCTTCTTTATAGTTATACGCTCTTGAATATATATATATATATACAATCAAGAGCGCATTAAAAATATTTAATACGCTCTTGATACAATGCATATAGTGTACTGTTCAACTATATAGTATATAGTTTTCATAGCCAGCGTTCTGCTTCCTCCTATATCCTCCTATGAAATATTATCCGCATTATCAGGCAGCTAGTCTATGATTTTAGCAGTTAGGAGAGTGGTATACTTTTTAGTGATGTTTGCATCGCCAATAACGTGCGCGCGGTGCAAGTCGCGGGAACACATTACCTATAGCTAGGACTAGGAGTATCTTGAGGTAGGGGAAGGTGGGGCATAATGGCACCATGAGGCATAACGGAACAGCTAAAAAAAACACATAAGGAAGTGCTGCCAGC